TCTAGGGTTATGATTTCACGTAACTATCAAATATGATTATCAATTATATAATTATTTCTAATCAATTTTCCAAAATTTATAAGAAAGAATCCTAATTTAATTATACTCCATCTCTCAAGTGTTGAGTAAAAACTATTCCTATAATTCAATTCCAATGTATCTATTTCGAATTAAAATTAAAAAATTATCAAGTTCATGGTTCTTAAATAGAATAAGCTTTAAAGGAATTATACTCTCTCTTGAAACCTATAAAACCTAGGTCGTGTTATTCTATGACCGTGCCTAAATTTTCCTCTCTCAAGCACCGAAATTGATTACCATCAAATCATTCAATTAGTTACCAATTAATTGAAAGTATTGAGAATAAATAACACAAATAAGCTTGATTGAAATATCTTATAGAAATAACTAAAATATATTCTCAAGTTTTGGTTATATCAAACCATAGATTAGATGTTTAGTTCAAGATGCAAGAAAGATTTTACAAATCATGATTAATAACATAAAGAGGAAGAGAAAACTCTTTTGAAGCTTGAATCAATCCCCTTCTTCTTGATCTCTTGATTGATTTTCTCTCTCTTGCCTAGTTGAATTCTCCTTTGAAATTGGTCTTTAGGGTTATATCTACAGTATCTTGAAGTCTTGGAAGAGATAGGGTCGGATTGGGCTCTTTTAAAATGAAAAAAGAAAAAAGAAAAGAAAAGAAAACCCTACCTTGTTGGCATTGCAGTGCTGCGATGTTGCTTCTGCTTAGACTGTAGCACCCAATTAATAAATTTTTTTCCTTCTTCTTGCTTTGGTTATTTTTTTCTTTCCATCTTCTAAGATTAATTTCAAGTCTATTCCACTCTATTCACACTCAAATAAACTTTGGCTCCTTTTTCACTCTCCAAACTCGTCATTTTCACCAAATTATCTAACCTGTAAAACAATACGAACACACACGTCAAAAAGTTCTAAATTTCTCAAAGAAACCAAAATACCAAGTCTAAGTGGCATTAAAACAATGAGTGAAACTCACTCATCACCAACCCAAAAAAAAAAATTAACACCCAATCAACCACCCACCCAAAAAATAGCAAAACCCATAACCAAACCTCAAGATATCCAACCCATTTCCAGCAGAAAACG